TTCGAAGAAAAACCTAAAAAGAAAAGAGAAAAATTAAATGAATTCAAGAAATCATAAACTTTTTTAACCTCTTAGGATAAATGAATTCAATTAGAAGGTGTGTATCTAATACCATATTTTAACCTCTTCGATATTGATAATATTGCGACATTCATATTAGTGGATACTAAAACTATTATTTGTTGTATACGAATAAAAAATTATATCTACAAGCAGAGACACGTTGCTGGTGGCTACATATCGGTGTCCGACACTTATTCGATAACAGTACGTCTTCAATGCATGTTGGAGGCCCTTTCGACAGCTCTTACGAAGAAGAACTAAAGAAGAAGAAGAGGAAGTCATATTGATTCGTGAAATAGGTGGTGAGGTGCTACCAAAGTTTGGGTTGTTGCAGAGCCATGAAGCGGCAGAAAAAATGAAGAGGCATTAAAGAAGTGAAGAGACGTGTGTTTGGGATGAATAATAAATAAGAAATTAAATATTGACTTCATCTTTTAACTAGTTAATTACTCTTTTATCCTTAATTCAAAAATCAAAAGGAAGGCTTTTTAAGTCTAAAAAGGAAGCAAAATTTTTAACCAATTTACCATTTTACCCAATTACAATCAAACTTCTAAAGTATCTTGGTTATTTAGCTACTTATATTTGATGCAATAAGTATAAAAAAGCCTTATTACTTTAGACTATTAAATTAAAAAAATTAAACAATATTATTTAAATCAACGTGTAGACGACGTATCCATGTTTGAGTTTTTTCAAAAATTCGCGTGTTGGCATCGTGTCCGTGTTGGTGCTTCTTAGGTTACAAATTTTGGTTTAAAATTGATACTAGATCTAATAACTCAAAGTAGATACTATCTTAAATAAAAAATATGTGAAAGGTCTTCACATTTTAGTACCAATGTAGCGTTTTTATAAAGGAGAGATACTTGGCATCTCCCCTGACATGGACTTAAGGTTTAGTCATATTTGTAAGATTTGTTAAGTAAGGAAATATGTGTGAAATGTATGCTTCTGCTCATACTTAAGGCCACTAATAATTGCTATGTTATAAATTTATGAAACAGTTGCAAGATGAAAGAAGATGATACAACTGATGGTTGAGGTTCAAACATAGTCATATATGATGGACACTAAACACATTTCCTTCTAGAAGCATTTCCTTTGCTTCAAATCAATCCTATCATCAGTAGGGGTCTACAGCAAATATACACATCAACTAGGACACATGCAGAGCATAAAATATCCTTGTACTGAGAAGATATAATGAAGGTCTAGGGCAATCTTAGTGACAGACAAGTTCCTGCTGCCTGATATTTGCTGTTGTTTTTATTCCGGAATAGAATTTTTTTTTTTTTAACCGTGGATGTCCGGACCAGCTTGCGAGCATCTCGATTAATCCCATGGGCCTCTGAAGTTTACGGCCGGGTACTCACCATGATGGCCCTAAGGGGACTCTAACTAAACAAAACAAAATAGGATATGTAGTTCAATAACGAACTCAACAAATATTGTGTTTCAACCAGTAGGGGACTATTCATTTGTTTAGCGAGAGAAAATCTTCAGGTCTTCTTGTATACCGTT